TTTGATTGCAGTAGAAACAAACTCCTGGATGTTCTTGCGCGCTCTTGTGCGCAGATATGCTAATCGTTTGCGAAGCGTAACGAATGAGCTGGCGATCCAGTCTGTGAGTTGCACACGGCACATTCGTGCGTTTTAGTTTTCCACTTCGTTTTCTGCGTGCTGCGAGGCCTTATCGCTGGAAATGAGCGGGACGCGCATCCTATTGTTCGGGTCATTTTTGCTGCTTTATCTTTCTTCGCATAGTGTGCAGGCGTTTGCGGACGTGGAGAGGCCCTTTGTGAAGCAACGACGTGCAGTTGGAGACGTTGTGGCCGTATGCTCAGGTTCATTGGGTGCAGTGGATGCAGGAAAAAGTGCACGCTGTGTTTGACTGTAAACTGGGTTCCGTCGAGTAAGCTGACGTTTCAGCGGCATGTGAAGTGAGGCCTCAAGAAAGAACAGCAGCGTGCGTCGTGATGAGACGCAGTCGGCAGGGGTATAGGAAGGCCTTGAGAAGCTTGCCTTTGGGTCTCTGAATATTTGCCAGTGGGTCCATTTTCAGCTCGCTAAAAGTAGGTCGCACGGCATTGTTCACATTTTGGAACCTGCAGCGTGTGCGTAGCATGCGCCTGAAAACGGTTCTTTTCAGACGAAGATGGTTTGGTGCTGGCAATCACTTTGGGCATGGTTGAGTGCAGCAGTGTTGCGTGTGCCGTGGCATGCGCAGGTTTGCTTCAGACTTGCCATTGGCTTGCCATGACGTCTGGATGTAGACGATTGTGTAGGGGACGCAGTATGGAAAAGGAAGCATTTGCGCTTATATGTATCCTAACACCCATCAATTCGCACCACGCTCGGGCCGCTTCGCAGCAAGTGGCTTTCGTTTCCTGTTCCACCATGGGCTGCGTGCTCCTTGCAAGCAAGACGGAGGCGTTGAGCGTTTGCTTGCAGGCGCGACCGCATGGAAGTGACTCTCGTAAAGCTCGATGACAGGAGCTCTGTTGTGCTGAGCGCACAGTTCTTCTTTTCATATCATCACGTGGTAGACTGCGATACGCAAGCAATGGCTGATCTGGTGAGTGAGCGCGATGCCGCAGGCGTTGATGCGCGCGAGGAGTAGCAAGCAGAGGTGCTTTTGCTGCGAGCTGGGCAATACACTGTTGTGTCATGTGAGTATGAATCTTGAGGGAGGCGCGAGAGACAGCTTTGTGTGGCCCACATTATGCGACAGTAGACGAAGCAGAAGTTGTATGCGTTGCTTGTTGACACGTACTAGTTTCTCAAGCGCATTCTATGCCGTCTTTTCGGTGCTTATGTTCTCAAGTGTTCTCTTCACATTTCCTTCGCAGCCAGGCTAGAAGGACTATTAAGGTTTGTGCTACCGCTGTTTCCCTGATGCTTGTTCCTGAGTTTTGCGGAGTTTTGCTTTGCTGAAAGACATACGAATTTCAAAGGTAGCCGAACGAGTCATACAGTGCTTTCGTCTGGACTTTCTATTAGATATTGGCCAACGTATGATCAGCTCTCTGAGCCTTGTCCCAAAGCATCACTTTTGCGGCAAAGGAAGCCGCAGCTTCATCACTGCTAGCTGGAAGGTGGTGGATGTTGTTGACCACACAGAAACCCTCTCTCTTTCGCACAGTTCTAAGGGAGGTGGTCTCTGGGCAAAGCAGCGTGCCAGGTTTCAAGGACAACATAGCTCTGCTGCACCAGGAAGTGCGCCGAACATAGCTTTGTGTGAAGGCGATTTCGTGATAGCACAAGGCGTTGTCATCGAAGTGAATGCATCGCGATTCAGAAACTTTTGAGGGCTGTGCTCATGTGCCACTGATGATACTATGTGCGAGCTCCTTTAACATTATTGCAACGTGCATGAATAGCGCTTTTCCTGCTGCGTTATGCAGAAGCGACTTTTGTTTAGTTTGAGTTTGTTTATGAGTACGCGTTGTGCGTTTTGTTTCTTGACAATTTAGAAGCAACGCTGCCTACCAAAGTACTTAGCGCTAGTTTGTCCTGATCGTCACTGAGGATTGCTGCGTAGTGCAGCACGGGCTTGTGATGCAGTGTCACAAGCCAACTGCGATCCGTAGTTTCCCAAAGGTCGCTGTTTGAATCTGGGCAGTTTGCCAATAAGCCATACGTCGTTACTTTAGAAATGCAGGGAAAGCATACATTCCGTTCTAACCATATTTCCCTAGATATTTCAGGCAATTGTCGTAGTCAAATCGCGTTGCCTGTCTGGAGATACGCTTGCCCCTGATGCAAAGGAAGGCTCGATGCACACGGAAAAAGCATTGTTTGTGTGTCTACGCAAGAAGCGACGACGTGGACACGTGCATAGCTATGTGGAAGTCAAGAGTCACTTGCGGTGCAATCGACTCGCTTTGGGGCCATTCGAAAGCCTATTGCTGGGTACGCCTTTTTTCGCAGTGAGGGATCGTGCAGTTCGTTGCTATGATAAGGCCGTGGTGGAGGAGGTGGACGACAGCAATACAGAGCGCAGCGTTTAATTTGTTTCTGCGTTCGGTTGCTACCATAACCCTGGAACCGCACATGACGTGCCATTCTGCGCGGTGTACATTGGTTCTTTAAGCTTTGCAGGCACTTTAACACAGGGCAATACAATCCAGGTGCCGTGCAGTGAGGGGATCGAGCGACATGTTGCAGCTGCCCGTGTTTTACAGTGGAAGCAGCGGCACTATGGCAATTTTGCCGGCAGATTGCTTTGTTTGTGGCAATGCGTTTACGGGCGCAGGGAGTGAGAACTTCCTTAGTCGAGCAGGGGACTGCGCCAGCGGACTGCCTGTGGCCGTAGGAGCAAAAGGCGTAATATCAGTGTGCCCGTCGTATTTTTGCGCGCAACAAATGTCTGGCTGTTGAGTGTAGTGACCCAAAAAATCCACAGCGCGTTGGTC